GGCACAGATGTTAGCCCAGGGCCCATCTTCCTCAGCAAAAAAGAGGAGGATTGGCAGATGTTAGCTCAGGACCGATCTTCCTCACACACACAAAAAAAAGATTGTGTGATTCTATTTACTTGACGTTGTAGAAATGGCAAACTATATAGGAGGACAAAAAGTCAGTGGTTGCCAGGGACTTGGGGGGCTGGTGGGGATTGACTGGAAGGGGGCATAAGGGAGCTTTTTGGAATGCTGGACATGGTGGTTACATAAATATATGAATTTGCCAAAACTTAGTTGAACTATATACCTTAAAAGGATAAGTTTTATTGTATGCCAATTATACCTCAAGGAACATGTTTTTTTTAATTCAAAGATTTAAATAATGAGTTTTTTAAAAGATATGCACAAATACAGACAGGCCTGGCAAGAAACTTGGCAAGAATGCAAGTGGTTTTCTCTTGTTTTGGACTCAGACGGTACCGTGCTGTGTCATAAGGCCCCCCCGGCATTTTAGAATCCCTCTTCTGAAAGGTCTCCTGTGCATGCATAAGTACCAGCCTGAACAGAGATGGAAAGACAAAGGCAGAGGGGCTGGGACCCAGCCTGCCTTAGCTGCAGCAGACCTCCCTTCCCCTGGCAGTGCTTGGCCCGGGAGGGTCCTTCCCCGACTTGGACTGGCCCCGGGCCCTCCTGCCCTCCAGTGCTCTTTGGAGTTTGCCCTCCACACGCTCCAGCCCCGTCAAAGGCTGCCCTGTCCTGTTCACTGCCCACAGCTGGTGTGACTCCATTAGCTTCCAAGCTCCTGGAAGAAAACGCAGAACCTAATTTTCCCTGGGCTGGGAGGGCTCTGGTCAGTCCCTCAGGACTCACGTGCGAAACGCTGAATCTCAGGAGCAGGGGAGTTGGGACAAATTCCAAACTTCCACCACCCCCAGCCCAGCTTCACAGGAGGAGCAGATAGGCCACAGCCTCAGCAAGGGTTGACCAGGAATCTCTTCTGGCTGACGTAAACATCGTGCCTCCATGCCGGAAGGCCCACTCGCGGATCCAGGACAGCACTGAGCCGGGCCTCCAGCCACAACCGCAGGAGCAGGAAAGCCCAGAGTAGAGATCTTCTCCCGAGCTCTGGCAGCTCCTCCCACACCTGGCTGCAGGCTGTGGGGCGGCTGCCAGCAGTAACTCACCAACTCTAGCTCTGGTAACACAGGCCTTGGTCTTGGTGTTTAACAAACCACGATAGACTTTACAGCAAGGGTCAGAAAGGACACAGTTTTGAATCAGAGAGCCATGGACTAAACACAGCCACCGGCATACCTCGCCTTTCGTGCTTGTCTTGTGCCAGTTGCCCTGTGTTGAAATAATGCCCGCTCACACTCATGAGAAACGAATCTTCTCTGTGGCGCCCTAATAGCTCATTTTGAAATGCTGAGGTTGAAGGTTCTGAACATGCAAGACAAGCTGCCTGGCAAGCCAGGGAAGGCCCTGGTGGAGAGCGCAGTACAGCGTGATTAGTGCTTTCCCACCTAAACTCTTAATTAAAAGGTGGTAATAAACACAAGACTGAGAAATGAGAAGAGTGCCTTCATCCCACCTCCCAATCAAAGCCCTTCTCATAGGCACACTTATTTTGGAAATTGTCATTTGTCTTATTGATTACGTGGTCTGTTCAAGTCTCCGATTAAGCAGACATTAGTTCCAGAATCAACTGCAATTTTTTTTTCTTTTGTACAAAAAGTGCTGTTTCCTGTAACCCGCATTGTGGAGAATGGGTTGACCGCAGATTCCTCTCTTCCCTTAGACCTTCGAATCTCCCAGATAGAACTCCACCCTCATCCCCAAAGAACACATGCAAAGAAGATGTATCAGCATAAATAATTTATCGCAAGCTCTCTAATGACATACACTAGTGGGCTTGACAATTCACTCAGGGGTATTCGGGGCGGGGGCCAGGAGGTAGGGAGTGTGATGCAGGTGTAGCATGTGAAGACAGGTAGCTGAGGGGCAGACCGCGTGCCTAGCCTGCTGGTGACCAGTCTTGGTCAGCTAAGCTCCCTTGGGCAGAAAGGAGCTGGGCCAGGCCAAGAACCCTCAGTTCCCCTTTGCTTCCCCCTGCTTCCTCATTCATGAGGAAGGTGAGGGAGGTGTGACGAGGTAAGACGCTCTCTAGCTGCTGGCTTGTGCGTGCTACCAGCTGAGCACGGGGTCCCCAGTCTAGACTTGGCTGGGGAAGACCTCCAAGGACTTGGGCCTTCGTTGCAGTGTCTTCAGACAGGATGGGGTGAGGGGTGGGGCCTTGTCCTTGGGGGGCTGCCCTCCCGTTGGGGCATCCAGGAGCTGCTGCATGTAACAGGAGGTACCAAGCAACAGATGGCCTGTGGCCTGCATGCTGAAGAGGGCCCAGCGAAGAGCTTTCCTGGGTGGAATGAGAAGGTACTAGAGTCAAAACATGTGGAAAACCCCTCCCTGCATCCCCAAAATGCCTCCTCCCCCATGCTCCCTTCATAATTTCATAAAGTGTAGAGTGATGTGCAGACAGGAACAGGTGCTGCCTTCCCTCAGCAAATGGGAAATGGTCTGCAGGCATTACCTGCAATTGTACCTTAATTGAGATGTCCGTAACCTCTCAATTTTCTCAGGCAAAATTCAAGCTCATTTAAGAAGGCCTTTTATTTTTGTGATACTACTTTTGACCAGCCAGATTGATCGACGTAATATGGCTCTGCCCTTCACGACCTCTGTTCCAGACTCCAAGGCCTTTCCAAGTCATTTGTAGTCTAGCTAATTTTCTGAGTGCTGGGTATGAAGTTCTCCACGCCCGGTGTTAGAATGTACTGAGAAGAGAACTTGAGTCAGACAGGCCTGCGTTCTAATCCAGTCTCATTAGCTGTGTGAACCTTGGCAAACTGCTCCAGTACTGAGCTTCTGCTTCCTCATCTGTGAAATGGGACCATGCCATTTTGATCCCTCACAAGGTTAGGAGGTTGAAATAACATAAACCACTTAACGTGGGGCCTGATGTGTAGAAGAACAGGAGAAACATCAAGAATAGCTGGTTGGATGCTTGACTACTTTAACCAAGTTCTTATCCAAATCTGTTTAAAAGAGATGGGTGAGGGTCACTAGGGATGTCTAGTCCGGGGGCATCAGGGAGTGGAAACAAAAGGAAAATAAAAACTTCCTGGCCGATACTAAAACTTGAGTCCTCTATTAACCTCCATTCAATAAGTGAACTTACGTTATGGTTGAGGTGGAGGGTGGCAGAAAGGCAATTAGAACCATAAACCTCTACACATGAAAGTACTTTAAAATTTTAAAGGCTATACCTGAGATATACCCATTTCTCAAATTAGAGAACTGAGGCTTAAACCCAGCTGTCCAGCCATAAATAGGAAAGAAATTCTGACACGTGCTACGGCATGGATGAAGCTTCAAAACATTATGCTAAGTGAAATAAGCCAGATACAGAAGGACGAATATTGTGTGATTCCACTTCTATGAAGTAACTAGAATAGTCAGATTCATAGAGACAGAAAGTAGAACAGAGCTTACCAGGGGCTGGAGGGAGTGGAGGGTTAGTGTTTAACGCGTACAGAGTTTCAGTTTGGGAAGATGAAAATGGTCTGGAAATGGATAGTGGTGACGGTTGCACAACATCGTGAACATAGTTAAGGTCACTGAACTGTACACTTAAAAGTGGTCACGATGGTCAATTTTACATTATGTGTATTTTACCACAATTAAAAAAAAACTAGCCGACACCACTAAGTCGTTACGCTGATTCCAGCTTGCTATCGTTTTTTTGATACTGAGATGTCTACTGTGTTTAGGCCTGAGAGTCCCACTTCCCCCAGATGGACTGAGTTTAAAGGCTGAAACTTCTTGCTCTAGATTTGGAAATCTGCAAACTACTGGCAGCAAGCCCAGATCAAGAGGGGGTGTGACATGGTATAGGAGGAGAATGGAACTTCTAGCCACAGAACCATGCTCAAACCTGCCACGGGGTGTCACCTCTGGCAAGCAGAACCATGCAGCCTCAGGTCCCTCATCTGCAGATCGGGTGTTCAGAGAGCAAACTCAGAAAACCAAGAAGGTCTGATGTGCTCTAGCTACGTATATCCTGGCAGAAGTCTGGGGACCCTGAGCAGGATTTCTCAGAAGCCCCCTGAGAACAAGGATCACATGTGTCTTCATTGGTTCTACAATTGTTTGAATTACTGCTATGTGCCAGCATTCGTCAAGGTACTGGAGGCAAGAGCAATTCTTGCCCTCGTGGAGCTTGTTCTGATATCCTGTTTGTCTCTATCTTGAGCTTACAGCATAGCCAGGCACACGGTGGGTGCTCAGTGAATACTAAAGGAAGCAACTGGGGAGGAGTAGAATCTGTTGGAAGAAACAGGTAAGAGGCCGTGCTCTGCTGCTCCCTAGCTTTGTGGCTTCGAACTAGTCGGATGCCTCTGCCTCAGTGGCTACATCACCTAAAGGGGTAAGAATTCTCTAGAGTACCACTGGCGCAGCTGAATTCGGGAAAAACTAGCGCAACAGTACTCATCTTAGGATTTAACACATTCTCGTGCTTCCTGTGATACTTGATTAGACTTTCAAAAGTAAAGTAAAAAGAAATTCATTAGACAATACAAATGACTATTGTCCATAGACATGCCAATTAATTCTGTCCAATGGAAGGACAATGATTTCATCCCTCTTGCCCCCACGGAAAAATCCAAGTTTGTATCTATACATTTATCTCAGCATTCTCGATGGGCCTATATGTGGGTGGGATTTTGAATTCTCCTTTGAACTGATTGCAACTTCTTGCTGGTTCTCTCATTAATTAGTGAGTTCAATAAAACCTTTGACACATGTTTTGCTTTTTGTTTGTTTGTTTGTTTGTGGTGAGGGGGATCGGCCCTGAGCTAACGTCCATTGCCAATCTTCCTGTTTTTTGCTGAGGAAGATTAGCCCTGAGCTAACCTCTGTGCCCATCTTCATCTATTTTGTATATGGGATGCCGCCACAGCGTGGCTTGATGAGCGCTGTGTATGTCATCGCCCGGGTTCCAAACCTGCGAACCCCAGGACGCCGAAGCAGAGCACGCAAACTTAACCACTACGCCACCGGGCCGGCCCCCCGTGTTTGCTTTCTAAATGTGGATTACGGGGCTGGCCTGGTGGCGCAAGCGGTTAAGTGCACGAGCTCCGCTGCAGCGGCCCGGGGTTCGCCAATTCGGATCCCGGGCGCGCACTGACACATGGCTTAGCAAGCCATGCTGTGGCGGCGCCCCATATAAAGTAGAGGAAAATGGGCACGGATGTTGTTAGCCCAGGGCCAGTCTTCCTCAGCAAAGAAAGAGGAGGATTGGTAGATGTGAGCACAGGGCTGATCTCCTCACAAAGAAAAAAAAAAAAGTTAATTAGGAGACTACTTAGGAAAACTCACTATTTTAGGTGGTAAAAATTAGTTGTTATAGTGGAAGATAGTTAGAAAAACTAAATGTGTCCTGGTTCCACCAGGAGGAGTCTGTACACTCCTCTGGCATACACTATAGGTGTAATCTGAAGCACTAGTTCAGCCATAAAGTTCTAGACTTTAGTCATAAAGTTCTAGCATAAAGTTCTAGTTCTAACTGTCATGCTTTGTTAGCATCAACACCAGTTCCAGGCCCTGGAAGGCTGAGGCCCACATGAGCACATACGGGCTCTCCCATTGCTGCATACCCCCCCTGTCCCCAGCTAATCCCGATTCACTCACTTCAGCATGTGCTTGGCCCTGTAGCAGTGCAGATCATAGGACAGGGAGTATGTGCCATAGAGAGTTGCCTTCACGTTCAGGCAACCAATCAAGTCTTGTGGGTTCATCTTGTACAGGTCGAAGGTTATGCAGGCCACATCAATCTTCTTGGCAGGCTTATGCAAGAGACAGAGTTGGCACCTAGTGCTCTGCATCAAGACAAGCATGTGGTTGGCACCCCTCAAGGACTCCTCCCAGGCTCCCAACGTTCTCCCCCCACAGGTGGGACCTCACCTGCTCTGATGGGGGTTGCCATTTCTGCCCCTCCTGGAGGACCATGAACACTGTGTTGTCTGCCAGGGCTTGGAAATAGTCTTCCGTCTCTACAGTTGTGCCATCTTCCTCCAGCACCAGGAAGAAGGGTTTGTCTGCCAGCCTCAGGGTGTCCCGAACCTGGGGGTAAGGCCAGTGATGCTTCTGCCATCCCCATGCAGCCACACAGCTGGTATGGGGAAGACCCACATCACATCACCTTAGCTGCCAGGGAAAGAACAAGTGGGCTGGGATCTATGGGATGGGACTAGAACCCAGGCTCTTGCTGTGCAATGACCATCCAAAGACTATTGTTACGGTACCTCTTGGTACCTGGCTTCACAGTTAATATTGTAGAACAGTGCTGTCCAATACAAATATAATAGGAGTCACATATGTAATTTTTAACTTAGATATATAATTGAGAGATAATTCACATGCTATAAAATTCACCCCTTTAAAGTATACAATTCAGTGTTTTTATTATATTCACAAAGTTGTGCAACTACCATTACTATCTAGTTTCAGAACATTTTCATCACCCAGTACCCATTAGCACTCACTCCCCATCCCCCAATCCATGGCAACCTCTACGCTACTGTGGATTTGCCTATTCTGGACATTTCATATAAATCGAAGCAGACACTATGTGGTCTTTTTAGACTGGCTTATTTTACTTCGTATGTTTTCAAGATTCATCCACGTTGTAGCACGATTCATTCCTTTTTATGGCTGAATTAAATTCTACTATATAGATGAACCACATTTTTAACCCATTCATCAATTGATAGACATTTAGGTTGTTTCCATTTTTTGAGTAGCATGAATAATGCTGTTATGAACATTCATGTACTAGTTTTTGGGTGAACATATATTGTCAGTATTCCTGGGTGTATATCTAGGAGTGAAACTGCTGAGTCATACAATTAACTCTATGTTAACTTTTTGAGGAATGCCCAAACTGTTTCCCAAAGCAGCTGTATCACTTTAGATTCCCACCAGCAATGTAGGAGGATTCCAATTTCTCTACATCCTCATCAATGCTTGTTATTATTTGTCTTTTATTCTAGCCATTCTGGTGGAATGAAGTGATTTTGATTTGCATTTCCCTAATGACTAATGGTGTTGAACACCTTTACGTGTGTTATTAGCCATTTGTATATCTTCTTTAGACAAATGTCTACTCAAATCCTCTGCCCATTTTGAACTGAGTTGTCTTTTTATTGTTGAGTTTT